ACAGGTTATAGATCCTCAGATCCTTCATTTACACAGGAATTAATCAACAAACTGTGCGACTGATTGGCCTGTTTTTTCTCAGTTTCTCTTGCTCTTCACCTTGTTTCTCCCTCTCATCCTTATACTTGTCCTACTACTGTACACGCGGCACGCGATAAAAGCTATATTTCCCATGTTAATCAGAGTTTTTGTCCTATCCAGCCGCGACGGCGACATGCGACGATTCTATTTTAGAAACGGTTTCTATTTTTCTGCGACGTCGCGCTGGAACAACAAACACAAAGTTTGGCAAAGACAATCTCAGGTACTGTTTATGTGCTTTATTTAATGTTTAAAGCGTGCAATGGGACTTTGAATATTAGTGCTCCAGCTTTGGAGCTGTTAAGCAACAATGGATAATTCACCTCAGATCTTGTAATTTAACAAGTGGAAACAAGAACGTTCAAACTTTGAACAAATAAGTGTATTCGTTGACAAAGATTGTTTTAGTTACTCAGCATGTATTTTTAATAATGTTCTGGTGTAATATTTGTGAATTTGATTATGTACGATCGTATTATTCAGCTCGCTATTATTAGCCTATGTTTGAGACATCAACCACTGGTCGATGATCATAATGTTTGTATAAACTTGTCATAAAAACCGTAATGATAATTACACTTAAATATTTTCTTCTCAGCCATGTTAACAATTGTCCGTGAGCGAAATCTCCTCCCATCCGTTGTCTGATTGGCCTTTCGCAAGGATTCCTGGGTAGTTAAAGTGCGTGGAGCCTGCATCTATGCGGGCTTCGTGGAAGACCGCTTCAAGGGTACAAAGGGGGCGCTGCTGAGCACACTTCAGAGCGTTAACATGCTAAATGGGACGGCCTACGGACTCGTAGACTCGGCGAGCACGCGCAATTTAAGTCCACGAGACCGAAAGTCCGCATGAAGTGCGCCATTTGGGACAGGGCCTTACGTCGTCGATCCCACGCACACATGGGCAGTTTGCAAAACACACCACTAACAACTGCGTTACTGAACAGAAATAAAAGCAGGATAAGAGCAACAGAAATATAAAACGGGCTTGCACACATACATGCGCAGTTCACAGCTCGCGCTCCTCATACCGACAGCCCACTCTGAGTGAGTAACAGAGTGCGTGCCACTTTAAAGGCGCAGTACCTAATTCTACTTGTGCTCTGACTATAATGCTGTGACTTTTATTATGGAGTTTAGTGGGATTTCATCATTCACTCAACCAATACGGCTCTAGCGCTCGACCGGAAGAACCTGAACTGAATGATATTATTTCAGTGACAGAAGTTCAGCTTTAGTATTCTTATTCCATAGCAGCCCTTGTTTGTAACCATGACAACTTATCACCATCACCTGTCCTTCATTCAGTCTCTTGTTATCTGGTGTATTTAAACCCTCAGTCATCTGAAGTTCATGTCCTGTTCAAATCAGAACTACTATCATGCAGCTCAAAGCATTATGGGTAGAATATCTCTACAATCTATTCTGATTCATGTCAAGTCAAGTCAAGTCAAGCGACCTTCATTTACATAGCACTTTTAACAATATAGATTGTTTTAAAGCAGCTTTACATTGATAATAGGAAATTAAAGTAACAGAGATTGTTTTGGCTTCACAGAAGCTCTAGAATAAAGTTATTGTCCAGCTAAATTTAGTGTTGATTGATTCACTTCCGTCGCAATGATCATTAGTTATTAACTTAGGGGCCGCTAACACGACACCGTTTTAACAGAAAACCCTTAATGCGATCCGGCCACTCATGTGCACAAAACAGTGCCCGGTGGCTTGAGAACGCAAACCATGAAATAAGTACAAGCCTTGAAAAATGTATAATACAGAATTTTTTATCGCTTCTGCATAGCCACGTGGACCGGAATTATCCCGACAACGTATTATCTGTACAGAGGTAAAGGGAAGGAGGCCTTCACAGGGGAGAGACTAGTTGACACTTCAGTTCAGTGTGGAATCTGAAAAAGTTCAGTATGGCGTACCACAAGGCTCAGTACTAGGACCGCTGCTGTTCACTCTGTACATGCTACCATTAGGAGATATCATTAGGAAGCAAGGAAAAATAGTTTTTACTGTTATGCTGATGATACTCAGATCTATATTTCTTCGCGCCCCGACTAAACTTACCAATTAACAAAATTAACGGAATGCATAGCTGATATAAAAATTTGGATGACTAGTAATTTCCTACTTCTTAACTCTGAAAAAACAGAGATTCTAATTATTGGACAAAAAACTTCCTCACGTAATAACCTAGAATACTGTCTAACACTTGATGGCTGCTCTGTTAAGTCTTCGTCGTCAGTTAGGAACCTGGGTGTGTGTGTGTGTGTGGGTGCACCAATCTTTCATTTGAAAGTCACGTTTCTAGCATCTGTAAAACCGCATTCTTCCATCTTAAAGAATATATCTAAATTACGACATATGCTTTCAATAAAAAATGCGGAACAGTTAGTTCATGCATTCATGACATCAAGACTAGATTACTGTAATGCTCTACTGGGTGGTTGCCCTGCACGCTTAATAAACAAACTTCAGCTGGTCCAAAACGCAGAAGCTAGAGTTCTTACTAGAACCAAGAAGTATGACCATATTAGCCCGGTTCTATCAACACTGCATTGGCTCCCTATTAAACAGCGTATACATTTTAAGATATTGCTGTCTACCTACAACGCACTAAATGGTTTAGCTCCCCAGTCTTTGAGCGAGCTCTTAACGCATTAAAGTCTTTCACGTCTATTACGATCTCAAAATTCTGGCCAGTTGATAATCAGTTGAATATCAAAATCGACTGCTGGTGGTAAATCATTTTCCTATTTAGCACCTAAACTTTGGAACAGTCTCCTTAACATTGTCCGGGAAGCAGACACACTCTGTCAGTTTAAATCTAGACTAAAAACACATCTCTTTTACCTGGCGTTCACAAAGAACATTATACATTTCTATTATTTCAAATCAGTTAAATGATTGTTAGGCTGCATAGATTAGGTCAGCCGGAACCGGGGACACTTCCGAAAACACCCGATGTACTCGTTACATCATAAGAAGAATGGCATCTACGCTAATGTTAGTCTTTACATTTATTCCGAGGTTTACTGAAGTCAGCCGGATCCGGGCCGTATCCAGATCAGATGGTGAACTTGCGCCTGGACACGACCACAACGCATCCCTGAAGTGCCAGCGTCATCAGCCCTGTGAAGGCTCATGGACACCTCAACAAACTCCTCTCCGTACCGGCGTGATGACTCCGACCTCCAACTAGATGGAACTGGATAAATATTGTTAATGTTCTGATCCAATCTGACTTCTGACCTGAAATGTTGCCTGAATGTTGCTTTTTTTCTCCATTCTGTCACTGATGGAGTTTTGGTTCCTTGCCACTGTTGCCTTGGCTTTTGGCTTGCTTAGTTGGGGACATTTAATTATTCAACAATATTATTGATCTACCTTACTTAAGGTGGACGATGACGCAATTTTCTTCTAGAAACAAACTTGTATTAATTTCATGTTATCACTGTGAAGCTGCTTTGATACAATCTGTATTGTAAAAAGCGCTATATAAATAAAGGTGACTTGACTTGACTTAAAAAGGAACACAGTTGTGAGGATTCTGATTTTCTAGTATCTTTGACAGAAAAGGCAGATTCGAGATCGGCCTGTAATTGACTATTTCTGTAGAATCGAGTTGTGTTTTTTAAAAAGTTTAATCAAAGCCAGCTTAAAAGTTTTTGGTACGAATCCTAATGACAAAGATGAATTAATGATATTAAGAAGAGGATCTATGACCTCTGGAAGCATCTCTTTCAATAGCTTAGTTGATATAGGGTCTAACATACATGTAGTCGATTTAGATAATTTAACGATTTTAGAAAATTCTTCCTCTCCTATAGCAATGAATGAATCAATTTTTTCCTCAGGGAGACTACAATGCACTGTCTGATGCGATACTGTAGTAGACGGTTGCATCGTTATAATTTTCTCCCTAATATTATCTATCTTGTAAGTAAAGTTGTTCAGAATGTCATTACTGCTGTGCTGCTTGGAAACGTCTGGGGATAAAGCTTTATTTTTGTTAATTTAGCCACTGTTTCAAATACATACCTAGGGTTTTGTTCATTTTCTTCTAATAAGGTTGAAAAATAAGCAGATCTAGCAGCTTTTAAGGCCTCTCTATGCAATCGAGCTCTCCTTCCATGAAATGCGAAATACCTCTAGTTTAGTTTTCTTCCAGTTTTGCTCCATTTTTCTGGCTGCTCTCTTTAGGGCCTGAGTGTGCTCGCTGTACCACGGCGTTGGACTATTTTCTTTAATGTTCTTTAAGCGCAAAGGCGCAACTGTGTCTAAAGTGCTGGAAAAGAGAGAGTCAAAAGTTTCTGTTGCAATATCGAGTTCTTCTAAGCTATCTGGGATTCTGAGGAGATGAAACTGATTAAGTATATTATTAATAAAGCGATCTTTAGTGGCAGAAGTGATAGGTCTAACATATTTGTAACACGGAGTCGACTTTGCAGCCTTGGCTAAATTAAGTTTACAGGAGACTAGATAATGATCTGAGATGTCATCGCTCTGCTGTAGAATTTCAACGGCATCAACATCTATTCCATGCGATAATATTAGATCTAAAGTATGATTACGACAATGAGTAGGTCCTGACACGTGAGTTAAGAATGTTTTTAAATGCCAATCCCAATGCATCTTTTTCATTATCTACATGTAAATTAAAATCACCAACAATTAGGACTTTATCTGCAGCCAGTACTAACTCTGATAGAAAATCAGCAAATTCTTTGATAAAGTCTGTACGGTGCCCTGGTGGCCTGTATACAGTAGCCAGCACAAATCTCAAATGTGATTTATCATTTACACTAGATAGTATTACATTAAGCACCAACACTTCAAAATAATTATATTTAAAACTTAGACTTCTCAGTAATTCTGAAGATAATATAAATTACAGCAACACCTTATGGGTAGAATCTCTCTACAGTCTATTCTGATATATCAACACAGTTTCACTGATGATCCATAATAAACCATAAACCCAGGATAGAGCGGCTGAGTGAATGTGGTCTGGACGGTGTGGATGAGGCTCATTGTGTCAGAGACGCTGTAGAAGGACAGAGTTCCTGCACTGTGATCCACACACACTCCTATTCTACTGTAACACACACACACTCCTGTTCTCCTGTTACACACACACACTCCTGTTCTACTGTGATCCACACACACTCCTGTTCTACTGTGATCCACACACACTCCTGTTCTACTGCTGATGGGCTTTACTCGGAGTTTATTATGTATGTTATTGTGTCTGATTGAGTATCCGGAGAAAGAGCAGAACAAACTCCAGGACTGATCATTAGATCCAAAGAAACTCTCATTACCCGATCCCTTCCTGCTGATGCTCTTATATGACACTGATATATACACACGTCCACCACTCCACTCAATCTCCCAGTAACAGCGTCCACACACACTCTCTCTACACAACACCTGAGCAAAATGATCAAATCTGTCTGGATGATCAGGATATGATTGAAACTCTGGGTAAGTGTCAGTAATCACTCTGTTCCTCTCAGACAGACGGAGGTGTTTATTCACTGTGTTCAGATCCAGAGTGAGCTGATGGGAATCTGATGGAGATAAAACACATCAGAATCAGGAATTATGAATCTGTCTTATTTTTTAATTGATCTAAACTCTTTATGTTCAATTTATCATCAGTGTCTCAGTACAGTTTGCCAGATATCTTGTGCAAATCATCATTTACATGATCAACTTCTACAGGAAGAACATGAACACACTTTTCTTAGTGACTTACATTGTAGGAAGTCGTTCCTGGTCCTGGGAACAATGTTGGAGAGAGTGACTGGTGAAATCAACAGACATGAAGAGTGTGATTATCATGTCTAGAGAAAATGATCCTGCATCCGTTCCTAAGACATTTCTAATATGATCTTCTACATGATCTGAGATGATGGAGGATCATTTCTGAGAGCAGAATCTCCAGGACTTTACCTCTGTCAGAGATCTTCTTCTCTTTGCAGAAATCCTCCAGTCTGTCTCTCAGCTGATGGACAGATTCTCTCACGCCATCAAAAGAGGAGAGAGAACTGAAGGGATTGTCATTGACGTCTGTAGATTCAGGAGGAGCTGAGAGAGACTGGAAACTCTACAGAAAACACAAATCAAAGCTCATCACCTCCACACTTCATCAATAACCGGCTCTACTGTCAGATGTGTGCGGCTCTTGATGATCTTTAGTAACTCTCCTCAATCCAGCACTTTCACAGCATCAGCTTCATTCTTCTCATATTCATTATGTGACATTATAGATACAAGTTCTTGCATTTGCCATTTACACTATATGTGAACTCCCTATCCATTTAAGCTCAATATTAGCTTGAGAAATATATGATTTTATTAGAAAAACTGCGATCATGAATCCAAATATGTAGTGTTTTGAAATTATATATTTAAAAAATAAATGACAGCAACAGTGAAATAAAGCAACAAAAAAAAAAAAATAATTTGTCCAGAAAACATTAAAGTGATTCATTCACATGTGGAAATAAAATCTAGAGGTCAGTAATATACCAACTTCTCTCTCACATTAAATATTATAAATAATCATATCATTATCCTAATCAAATGCATCAATCTCCGTCTTAGCTGTTTTATATTGTGTAAATTGAAGTTTAATACACTGGGAATGTAATTAAAGCCTATGTTTTATTCACATAATTAAAGGGCAAAGTTTGCTAAATTCATATTTGTGTGATGAAAGGGCATTAATATGTGATTTTTTCCCCCTTGTTCATTTAATTTCCTATGAAATGTGAAGTAGTATTACTAAACAATAATTGAATATATGCTTGGATTACGGGTAATTTAACTTTTAATAAAGCACTTTAAGTTTTATTGAAAAAACAACAGGCTACTGTTGCATTATTGAAAGTGAAGAAACAATACTGTTGTATTGTTAAAGGAAATAATATAACATTTCTAATTTTATTCTAAACATTGCCCATTTATTTTTTCGTTAAATACATCGTGTTTCTAGAGATTTGCATTATTTAAAAGCACACTGAATTAATTTTGACATGGAGTGAAAACAGAACGAGGTTTTTTTATTACTGATCGGGCAGCGAATAATGAGGAGAGATAAATGATCAACTACAAATCTCAATAGAAAAATATAGCTGCGAGCAGCGATTACGGGCCCAAGCCGGTGGCACCGCAACCCCGGTGCCTTTAGTTACCTAAAGGCACCGGGGTGGCGGTGCCGCCGGCTTTGGCCCTTCATCGCTGCTCGCAGCTATATTTATATATATATATATATATATATATATATAAAAAGCCGGTGGCACCGCCACCCTGGTGCCTTTAGGGTTATTGTGCACGACGTGACACAAAATATCTGCTCGCTATCTGCCGAACGGCTCTGGTAGTTCCGCTTCAGCACTGATGATGTTGTAGAAATAGTGCGCTCTGGTTGGTCTGGATTATTCGGGATTTTTTATTTTATACAGAAATAAGTTATTTATAATTCAGATGAGAATAAAGTTAGTGTTGATTAAAATGAAGGAAAACAAATATATTGATCTGAAATATAGCACATTAATTTTAAATGTATTTAGGTTCAATTACCAAACATACAATCTTAATTTAATTTAAAGCAAACAATACATTTAAAATATATGGGTTGTATGCACTTTTTTTTATATAAAAAAAAGATATATATCCAAAAAGACAAGGCCTTAAAGGGTTAAACTCTTGTCACTGTAACAGACGCAATCTCTCTCTCTCTCTCTCTCTCTCTCTCTCTCTCTCTCTCTCTCTCTCTCTCTCTCTCTCTCTCTCACACACACACACACACACACACACACACGTCAAGTCACTTACATTTTAGATGCAATATTGAATAAGCAGAAAAATCGGATTTTCTGCTCTGAAAATATAAATAAGCATAAAAATTGAATAAGCACTTTGAATATTCTAAACAGAATAAGCACTAGTCGCTAATGAATAAGTACTAGTACTTAATGGAATAGATACTAGTATCTAAAAAATAAGTACTAGTAGCATGAAAATAGAGACTAGTAGGTTAAAATGATTAAATGTTAAAACGGCTTGCCATATTGGCTCAGAGAGAGAGAGAGAGAGAGAGAGAGAGAGAGAGAGAGAGAGAGAGAGAGAGAGAGAGAAAATGACCTTTTAGATACTAGTACCTATTAATAGATACTAGTATTTATTCAATAAATACTAGTACTAAGTCATTAGATACTAGTACATATTAAATAGATACCAGTACTTATTCATTAGCTACTAATACGTATTCAAAAGAATATCTAAAGAATAAGCACTAGTATCTAAAGAATAGGCACTAGTACTAAAGAATAAGCACTAGTCCCAAATGAATAAGTACTAGTACTTAATGGAATAGATACTAGTATCTAAAAAATAAGTACTAGTAGCATGAAAATAGAGACTAGTAGGTTAAAATGATTAAATGTTAAAGCGGCTTGCCATATTGGCTCAGAGAGAGAGAGAAAATGACCATATTCAAACCACAATATCTGACTTTCTGAGGGTCGGAGCTAATTACTTTAAATTAGAAAGTTGTTCGGCTTGAGGAGAAGAATATACACGCTGAGTTTTGTAACTGTAGGTAAAACTAACTAAGTCATAACACACTTTATATGTCCTTTTTTAGTCATGAAAATTAATTTCCTCTCCGTGGCCAAACCGTTCGAGATATCAAAAATCTGTCCACAATTTAGCATCCTTAATGTCTTGACTTCATGCACACCGAGTTTGGCAATGATTGAATGAATTGCCTAGGAGTAGTACTTCAAATTCCACAGCAAGCGTTTTCCAAACAACCCATAATAGCCGATTTCCTGTTGGGCTGGCGTAAAACTTGACCAGGGGAAAGATGTTCGGCCCGATGAGATCTATATGTGTACTAAGTTTCATATTAATTCATGCAAGCGTGTTGGATATATGGACCAAATTGTTGGACCCCGTTCAAGGGGGCGCTGTTGAGCCCCCCTGCCACGCCCGGGTACCAGCTTCAGCCCGGCCCTGATGGCTGTGGGCTCTGACCTGTGTGCAAAGTTTCAATAGTTTTTGAGCACGTTAAGAGCCCCAAAAGCCCCTGAAACCTTGAACTCCATTAAAAGCAATAGACAAATCCCTCACACACAGAGACGAAGAGAGAGGGAGAGAAAATTCTCAGGGTTGTATGCTATTTTTTTATATATAAAAAGATATATATCCAAAAAGACAAGGCCTAAACTTTAACAAGGGTTAAACAATCACTGTAACAGACACAATCACACACACACACACACACACACACACGTCAAATCACTTACATTTTAGATGCAATATTGACTTTTTTTCTGTTTCAGCAGCGAAAATAGTTAAACAAAGATCACAGCAGAACCATCGAGCATCTCACAGCAACGCGTTCTCATTACTGAATGATTCAGCATTTTGAACGAATCGGTTGACTCAAAGATTCAACGACCAATCCATAATCTGTCTCATTCATGAATGACTCAGCCGTTCGAACGAATTGTTTGAACGAATGAATCAATGACTCGCTCATTAAGACGGTCGCCTGGCGACACCTAATGACGGTTTAGTGATATGTTTAAAAGTATCATTCTTTCCAACGATTGTTAATTAACTCATATGTGACCCGATCTGGCGAAATGAGTCGGAAGTCGCAACGTTCTATTTTAAGATATGGGCCGATTATGTGGAAAAACAATGAAATAATAGATTTTTTTTTTTGTGCTAATTTCAAAGAACAGACATTCAAAAATAATCTCCCAAAGTTTCATAGTCCAGATAATTGAGTAAAGGTATTTAAATTACTATTAAAGTGTACAAAGTTTTACTAAATTCGCTGGAAATGAACATTGCTTTTCTCAACTCCTCTCGTCACCTCTGAGCATTTCCCGGGTATCCCCTGAAATGTCACTATCTCTGCTCTTTAAATGGTGTTACACGTTGTATAGAACCAATCAAAAAGCTTAGAAATGTACACAAATGCTGATCATTTGTCGATGGGAAGCCGTTTCGACTGACCGGCACGCGATTGGTCCAGCCACCCTCCTGTCAGACTCGCAGCGAGCGCTCTGTGTAATAAACAAGCTAGCAGATCTCCTCAGAAAGATTAAATATTATTAATTTGAGAAATGTCGCTGTCAAAAGTGAGCAAAGTTGCCAAAGCGTCATCAAGCCCCCTTGGCCATTGCACACTGAGTCCGCGTTTTTTTCGTATGCGTTTTTTTCGGATTGATTCGGTGGCTCCGAATTGTCAAAACACCATTCAAACTGCTTGCTACGGATGCGAAAAGCTTACGATTGTTTTTATATAACGGATGAAAGTTTCGTAGTGTGCACGTGTGATTGACATAACGTGATTGACAAAGGTGAATGAGTGTAGCTATTTATCTGCAAGCAGAATCCATTACAATGTGTTTGATTAATTACTGTTGGTATCTCCGTTATGAATTTGTTACGCTGTTATTGTCAACTAGCCTACACTAAGATATGATTGCATAGACTAGCATTATTTGATCTCTGTTTCCTTGTCTCTCTCTCTCTCTCTCTCTCTCTCTCTCTCTCTCTCTCTCTCTCTCTCTCTCTCTCTCTCTCTCTCTCTCTCTCTCTCTCTCTCTCTCACACACACACACACACACACACACACACACACACACACACACACACACACACACCCTCTCTCTCAAGCAAAAATGTAGCACCTCTGTTCAATCTTTCTGATTTTAGTACATTTTTGTAAAAGGTAGGCCTACTGTTAAATTATTTATTCAAATAAATTTTTTTTTAAATAATTTGAGCTTCAGCCTGGTTTAATAGCATTTATATATTAATTTCTTTGGTCAAATTAAGCTGTAAAATATAGTTTATCCCTTTAAATGTAATGGATTTTGAAAGATATCAACAAAAAACGGGCAAAAAACTTTAAAATCGATTTTCTCAGGTTTTCAATTGGAAAAAGAGGGCAGACGACCATAATTCAAATGTGTATATCTTTACAACCATTCAAGGTATGACTTTGACTAGGATATCAATTGAAAGCTTATGGTCTCCTCTTTCCATTAATACCAAAATCTCAATTTTTTAATTTGGGTC